TGTCCATCAAGAAAGAACCTTTTCTGGAAACCAAAATGCTGAAGCTGAATCTATCTTACTTTGGCCACATCATGGGAAAGCAAGACTTCCTGGAGAAGACAAGCATACCAGGGAAAGGGAACGGCAGGAGAAGAAGGGGGACGATTCAGCATGAGATGGAGTGACTCTATACGATTAGCGGCAAGACCTGAGCAGAAAAAGTTCCTTTCTTTGTGGAAGGGGTGATTTCCTATGAAAGATTTTTTTTAAAATCCCTCCACAACCCACAAAAACTTTCTTTTTTAGTAGTTTTGCAAACAACTGATCACCTGACCTTTCTCTTGGGCATGCGGGCGGGGTGCTGTTTTGGCTACATAAACAACATCACTGAAAAACTGGAAATAAAGTCTGCACATTTCCACTGCGACCATTCCTGGTGCAAGCCCAGCTGGAATGAAGTTCGAATATGAAAAAAGAAAGCCACTTCTGTTTTTCTATTGGGGTCCGAACAACATACCCAAATCTCACCCACAAATGGAGGTGACCCCAAACTTTGTTCGGAGGGTGAGGGAAAGCGACCAGACAAGGAAGGGGGTCATCCTAGCTTGAAATTACAAACAGGAAGAGAAGACTTCTACAACTCAAGAAAAAAGGGAAGATGGACCTAGAAGGGAAGTATCTTCCAGGAAAAGTTTGGCCTCAAGAGCAAACCAGCAGTTGCATAGGTTCCTTCCTTCCCCTCCTGGTCCTGTTTCTTCTCTCTTCTAATTTAAGGCAGCAAATTACCATATACAATTACTGAAGTCAATGAGACCAATTTTCAAGCAGACAATAAATAATTGCACTGCAGAGTTCTGCCAAACTGAGACTTGTGAAACCACAAAATACCCTTGATGGACACGTTTGATTTCTAGGATTAAGAGAGTGTGCCTTCACCCCTCCAAAGAGAAAAACAAGTTTCTTGGGGGTGAGTCTAGAAGTCCAAAGAGACTTAACAACCAAGGAACAATCTCGGAAAGTCACTAAGGAGACACAGTGGAAAACGCTGCAATTTTTCATCACACTACCAGAGATGTTTCTCAAGGTACCAACCCCAAGAATGCCCTTTCTCTTCTTTGATGGAGGAAACCAGCAGCAACCTGTTTCTCACAGACTTTTTATCTCCAAAGGTTATCCCAGGTCAGCTTATCCATCAAGGAATGGCTTGTAAATTGCCAGAGAAAATGTCCCCTAGGCATCCTCTTGGCTACATTCACACAAAGTACCAACCACCATCATGAGCAGAGAGTAAATCGTAAATTGCAACTCCTAATTACAGGAGGAACGCTAGCTTTTCTTGCAACTCCACTCCTTTATGTTTCAGTCTGAAAAGCCAAATAAGCCCATTTGTGCTGTCTTCGGCTGGGTTTTTCTGGCTATTACTCCTCTGCTTAATCTTTTAAAATCTATTTAGATTTCTCATTTCTTTCCAGGAACCCAAGAATGCAAATATTATTTCCTCCCTCTCCATTTTATACTCATAACAGCTCTGCAAGGTAGGGTCAACTGAGAGTCAGAGAGTTCTCTAGTCTCCAGTGAGCTCCACGGCCATGTGGGAATGAAGAACCTGCAACACTCAAGTTCCAGTCCAACCCTCTTCACCACCACACCACACCACACCACACCAGTTAACCAGTGCTAACCAGTGCCCCAGGAAGACCAGCTGTCTGTTCTCTTCTTGTTTTGCAACCTGTCCTAAGCAGGTTTGGTTTGGGCAGTCATTTTTAGAGTTGGACAAGCTAGCAAAACCTACAGGCTTTTCCACCTTCACAGTGGACATCCAAGGGTGCCCACTCCAATTAAACCCATTCCATTCTGGGCTGTAGCACAACAAGAGGAGGGGGCAAAAAGCGGTCTGGGAACTGCTGTTGAGGGCTGCAAGAAAGGGCTGTTCCCAGTTTTATCTGGAGCTGCCAGGAATTGAACCCAGAACCTCCTGCATGCAAAACTAGTGCTCAGCTATGATGCTTCCTGGGTTTCTGCTGTTCTTGAAGTAGCACCTCCATTATCCATCTGACCAGTTCATGCAGGTCCTTAAGAGTCGATCCGCCAGATGAAAAACTTAATTGCTCTGAAAATTTCCAAAGTGCAGCTGTGGCAGATGGGAACAAAGGAATATGGCCACCCTGCCACTATCTTTCCTGCGGTAGCTTTTCATGTGAGGAAGGGCACTCTCTTTTAATAACAGAAAGAAGAAACAATGCAACACTCCAATCTTGGAAACGTTTACCAAAAAAATGTCATTGGAGAGAAATGAGAAGCACATCTTTGAACCAAACTCTTATCACTCCAAGCTTCAATAGGAAGCAGGAAATCCTGTTCTAAAATGATTAGAAGCCTCCACCAATGGGACCTCAGCAAAATTCAAGAGGCACTATCTCAGTCCTATAAATAAAATGAAAACCAAAGTCCACCACAAGGCAGAAATTGACCCATGTGGAATGAAGCTGCCACTGATTTAAATAGCCCACACAACTATGGGGAAGGAGCACTGGCTTATATTATTATTATTATTATTATTATTAATAATAATAATAATAATAATAATAATTCATTGCAATGTTAAGACAGCAAGTTCTGTCCCAGAACATAATTATATGTGGAAACGGGAATTTAAATCTTGCAATTTAGAATGTCTGCAGTAAGATTGCAAGGGAACCTTCCTTCTTCATCAGGAATGAGGTTTTTACAGTCATATCATGAGAACAGAAGTCAGCAGAAAAGGCCTTTTTTTTCTTTCTTTGCGCCCACATTAAAAGAGTGACTACAATTTCCTGCCCAGCTTGTGGGCCGGTGCCAGTCATACCGAAAGGCACCTGGGGCATTCTCCTCAGTCATGCCACAATTAACAAATTGTGGCCGGGAGAGTGGCTTAGACGGAGCTTTGCAGAAAGGGGAAATAGCAGGGTTATGTTTATTGACAGCTATTAGCCAAGTCTGGGAAACAGAACCTCCATGTTCTGTGGCAGTGTACCTTCGAATTCTACAAAAAGGGAGAATAACATGGCAGAAGACTGGCAGAGCATCAGTTTTGTATCATGCAGAAGGCCCCAAGTTTAATCCTCCATGCCTAGTCATGCCACAATTAACAAATTGTGGCCGGGAGAGTGGCTTAGACGGAGCTTTGCAGAAAGGGGAAATAGCAGGGTTATGTTTATTGACAGCTATTAGCCAAGTCTGGGAAACAGAACCTCCATGTTCTGTGGCAGTGTACCTTCGAATTCTACAAAAAGGGAGAATAACATGGCAGAAGACTGGCAGAGCATCAGTTTTGTATCATGCAGAAGGCCCCAAGTTTAATCCTCCATGCCTACAGGAAGGGCAAGGACAGAGCCCTGCCTGGAACTCTAGAAAGCCAGGCCCAGGGTCTAACTGGCAAAAGGTAGCTCAGGCAGGGACCTCAATCCCAACGCATCAAAACTACCTTATGCTCTCATCACATCTTATCCCATGAGAAACACAGAAACAGAGGGAGTCAGAAGGGGTCTCCCAGGCCATCTAGTCTGTCCCCCGGCTCCAGCTGGCTCCACTCATGACATGCCCACCATGTGCAAGTCCAGCCTATCCTTAAAACTCTCGCTGAGAAAGGTCTTATCTCAGTTCCAGAGCTCATGATTTGCTCACCGCAGCATCTCCAAGGTCATTATTATTTTGAACATCCTACCTTTTCCAGCAAGGAATGCAAGACCCCTCCTTTCCATTGTATTATTTTTATTCTTAATAATAATTCGATGGCTATACTGTCCCACAGCAGCCCTGTGAGGCAGGCTGTGACTCCGTGGATTTAAAAAGTCAGCTTTAAAAATTCTTGGTTGGGATGCAAGGAAACCAAGCCAGTGGAAACACTATTGAAAAACAGTCGACGTGATAATACTAATTGGGATAAGTATTGTTTACACTGAGAAGCAGCAATTATGAGAGCTGGTTCAGAAAATTAGGCCAGGACCATAGAACTTCTTTGCCTGGGTATCAGTGGTTGGGTTATCCCCATTTCAGGGACAAGAGAATTGAGGCCAAGAGAGGGCCAGGGGCACCCAACTGGGACCTTTGAGAAGGATTTCCAAACACATCTCTTTCTTAAATAGCAAGACCACCTGCTAAGTGGAGTTCTTTGGGTGGCACAGAGGCAAATTCAAAGCATAAACTATAGAACAATGCTCAGATGGCACATCAGAATATCAGCCACAAAAGGTAAAAACCCAGCAGCACTGAAGGACGAGCCAAATAGACCCAGTCGGAGAAGAGAAACACAGAGCCCCAAGAGCCCGGAAAGGCTCGGGAGAACCAGAAGGACAGGCGAGCCTCCGGGAGTGGGGAAAGGCGCTTGCCACGGGGGTCCCACCACTGGAAAGACCCGCACTCTTGTACCCCCGTCTTGCTACATCAACCGCGATCATTCTGCATCCCGTCCCTCTTCCTCCTCCCGCTCGCAAAAGGGCATCCAGCCTCCGCGCAAAGGGATGCGGGCGGAGGGTGGCGGGGAGACCTGCGGGATGGGAAAGGTCGCCCCGAACCGCGCCGAAGCCGCGCGCTGCGCCGATGACCAACATTTCGCTGCGCTGCAAGGCGCGGAGCCGGGAGCGCCCGGCAGGTGCGGCTCCCAAGAATCCTCGCAGAAAAAATTCCCCTCCTTCTTATGTAAGAAGAGGTCAGGCGCTCTCCGCCTGGTTTCCCTCCGTATTTCCTCCTCCTCCTCCTCCCCACCGCCACCAGCATCATCTTCTCCCGCAGCAGGCCCCCAAGCCGCGCGCCCGGGACTGAAGCTCTGCCATCTCCATCTTTTCTTAAGCATCTGCATCGGCGGCGGCAGCCGCGACCCCAGACGCAGCCGGTTTTCCGCCCGCCCACCCGCCCGCCGGCCGATGGCCTCGCCTGACCTTCTGCCAAGTCCCCGCCGCCCCCGCTGCCCCCGATCGCCGCGGCGCCCCTGCAAACCGCCCCCCCACAAGCGCCTGGCTTCCGGCGCTGTCCACCGCGCGTACCCGGGATTTGTCCTTCGCGTCCAGGCGCGCCTCCTGCACGAAGGGGTTGAGCACCAAGGGCGAGGCGAGCGACTGCTGCCTGGGCAGCGGGAAGAACCTGGCCGCCGGCTGCGGCGCCATGCCGCCGGTGGCGCTGCCCTCGGGGGCGGCGGCCGCGGCTCCCGACGCGGGCGCTGCGCTGCACGGAGTCATCGCCGCAATTCTCCAAGGGGAACCGGCAGATGCTGCGACGCCCTCGCTCCTCCCTGCCGCCAAGGCGCCTGCGCGAGCTCCCGCTGCGCGGGGGGGGGGGGGGGGGGGGGGGGGGGGGGGGGGGCCACTTCCCCCCCCGCCCCCCCCCCCCCCGCGGGGGGCCCCCGGGGCGCCCCCCCGGGGGGGGGGGGGGGGGGCAGGAGGTGCAGGGGAGGGTGCCAACTTCCCGAGCGGCCCCCGCTCCTCTGCGCGAGCGCCCGGGGGCTGGCGCTGGTGCGCGGGAGCTTGACGCGAAAGAGCCCCTTGGAGAGGAAGACTCTGGCCCAGATGCTGGCAGAAGGGGCGATCGCTTGCAGGGAAATCCAGGACGACCCGGGTTAGAGAGGAGGTGTGTGGTGGTGGGGAGAGGAAGAGAAACGGGTCGCCAGTTGCCCCGAAGAGCAGTTTCCTCTTCACGTGTTTGTGGCTGATAATGATGTGGAGTCAGCACATCCAAAGTCCACCCAACACAGACTGTGGAATGCCAGGCCTGCTTCTCTGTCATCTGCAGCAACTTCACCTCCAGATTCATCAGCTGTCCAGAGGAACAATTATTTGGTTAAACTGCAAATGGTTAGGAACCGAACCTATCTGGGAAATTGGTACAAAGAAGTCACTCCCTTTTTGATGCTGGGAGAGAAGAGATTTGGCTGCTGCTTTGCATTCTGCCTGTTTGGAGGGCTTGGTGAGCCGGAATGCTGTGCTCAACCTACAGATCCTTTGGGGCCCTAATATTTCCAAAGGCAAGCAGCCAAAACTTGCTGAAAGGAAAATAAATAAATAAAAGGAAGTGTGTGAACTGGGTGTGAAGTCAAGAGCCTTCACACAAAGAACTGCTGTGTTTAGCCCCTAAGCACATGTTACTTTAAAAACATAGCCGATAGCTATGGCTCCCCGACAACATTCACAGCCGCTCGTGCATATTCTTCCCCTAGAGTAAGCACAGGACTTCTGATCTGGATTTAAACCCTAGCATGAGAACCAGGGCTGCTTGACCACTTTCCCCTCTGCTGTGGTCTGGACTGGCCCCTTGCTCCTTCCATCTCTGCTGCCAAACGAGGCCAAGGGGAAGCGGGTGAATTGGCCCAGAGAGATCAGCTGGCCTGCTGTTCCATGGGTGACTCTGGGCCAGTTCCTTGCTTGCTGCCCCACCCGACTTCACAGGGTTGAGCACAGAGGGAAAGCTCATGACCTATCAAGGATGAGGTTTTCCCAGCCTGGCTTGATCTCCAGCCCCCAGCATGCCTTCCCATGGACCATGCTGGCTGGAGCTGATGGGATCCTAGTCGAGAAGCTCTGCTTGGCCCCTGAATGAGAGGTGGTGCTACATGACAGCAAGTCATCTTTGGCTTATGGGAACCCAGTGAATTAAGGCCCTTCAAAAGCTCCTGCCCCGGCCTGCCTTGCTCAGCTGTTGCAAATCCAGGGTTAAGACTTCCTTTACGGAGGGAATCTTCCCTTTCATCCTCTGCCTTTGTTTTTCCCTATCAGGATGGTCTTCTCCAGAGTGTTTTCCCTCTCAAGGTTATCCCTACGCGTGACATTTTGTTGTTCTTGCTTCTGGCTTCATTGCATCAAGAAGCTACTTGTTTCCCTTTTCTTTTGGTCCAATAATTGTAGGCTGAGATATATGTGTTGTAAGCCACCCCGAGGCTTCGGCAAGGGGCAGCATAGAAATGTAATAATAATAATAATAATAATAATAATAATAATAATAATAATAATAATATAAACAAACAAACCAAGCATCCCCAAGCCTGGCTTCACTCCTGCCCCCAGCATCCACTATTCAAAGATAGACTGCCTCTAAACACGGAGGTTTGGTCTGGCTTCTGGCCTTCGATTTGTCTAAGCCTGTTTTAAAACTGCCACCGACATTTTAGCACTGTCCTTGTAATACCTCCATCCCAACTTCCACAGGGAGCTATCCAGGGTACTATCCGAACTCTTGCCTCATCTCCTCAAAGTCCAATCCTGTCATTTCCCAGAAAACCACAGACCCGGATACAGTCCCATAGATGCCTTCCCTGGGATCCACACAAGAACGTTGGGCTCAAATCGTCCTGGAGGGGCTTCTCCCGTCATGCCTGGTTCTTCCTTGCTCTCCCAGGCTCTTCCTCCCAGCCTAGCTATTTGTCTGCATCCCTTCCTTTTCAAAAGAATGCCCTCCTTTCTGTTCTGGCTGCCAGCCAGGAGAGACCCAAAGTGAGCAGGTCCCTCATGGCACAAGGCCAGGACCGGCCCTGCCATGAGGCAAGCTGCGAATTTGGTCTCAGGTGTCAAATGAGCTGTTCTCTGATGATATGCATCAGCCATGCTTGGCCCCAGGCGGTCATCTGTCCACATCAGAGGTGGCTTTTGGCAAGGGAGCAGCTGCCGTTCAGCAAAAGCGCCCAGAGGAACAGTGTAGCCCAGTGGTTAGAGTACTGGACTAAGACTTGGAAAACTGGAATTTTAGTCCCCATTCAGCCATGAAGCTCACTGGGTGACTTTGGGCTAGGCACAGACTCTCAGCCTGACCTGCCGCAGAGGAGGGCTTGTTGTGAGGATAAAACTGAGAGGAGAAAGAGGATTATGCATGTCACCTTGAAAGGAGAGTTGGCAGGATATAAATATAACAAACACGATAAAGTTCAAGACTTCTTTTTATCTGCAACCTGAGTAAATAATTCAGCAGAGCAACAGTCCTGTAGTGAGGAAGGCTGCCCTGCCTTCTGCCAGAATCAAACCACTGACCTGTAATTCTGATTTTTATTATGCAAAAAAGTTCTTTCTTCGGGAGACAAGACACTTGCTACAAAAGACTGTTTCAGCATCCTATGAAGCATGTCCCAAAAATCAGGTCGTTCAGAGCAAACTATTGGGAAATGTTTGTACCCGCAGGTGCAGAGCAGGCACTTAGTGGAGCGGAGCTTCAAGGCAGATCTTTGCTCGAGGGAAGTCTTCTGAAGCAACACGCCTGGAATGTTGCATCGCCCTGTCCTGCTCCTCCCTCGTCACTTGACTTCAAGCCTCTGGATCTCAAATGCCTTCTCCCTCCTCTTTGCTCCTGCCCAAGGGTTTTTTTTGGGCTCAGCACATTCCCACCCATCCTCAGCTGCTGCTGAGTCACACACAAGCCCTGGAACTTCTTGCAGCACTCCTGCAGGAGGCTGGGTGCACTCTTGCATGCAGCCGCACCGTTAGGTAAGCACAGGAGAAGGATGTCGACCTTCTCTTTCACCATTGTAAATCTGCAGGTCGGAATTGTCTTATTGCTCAGACTGCAAAGAGAGCAAATCAGTCAGTCCTAAAGGAAGTAAGCCCTGCCTGCTCTTTAGAAGGTCAGGTACTAAAGCTCAAATACTTTGACCACCTAATGAGGAGGAAGGACTTATTGGAAAAGACCCTGATTCTGGGAAGAATGGAAGACACAAGGCAAAGGGGGTGGCAAGGCTGAGGTGGCTGGGTGGGGTCCCTGGAGAGGTGGGTGTGAGGTTGGGTGTCCTCCAAGGGAAGGTCGTTACTGGTTTTTCGGCGCCAGGTAAAGACCTTTTTGTTTAAACATCATTTCAATTGTTAAAACATATGATCTGGCCGGGGCAACTTCTTCTTCCTTCTCTTTCTCCTCCTATATTTGTATTTTATACTGATAATTTTAATTTTGTATTTGTAAATCAATGTATTTTTTGTATTTTTATATTTAATGGTAATTTATTATGTACTATTGTATTTCAATGTATTTTATCATGTTGTAAGCCGCCCCGAGGTTTCGGCAAGGGGTGGCATAGAAATGTTGTAATAATAATAATAATAATAATAATAATAATAATAATAATAATAATAATAATGGTGGACAGGAGAACCTGGCGGTATGTTGTCCATGGGCATGACTTTGCGATCGAACAGCAAAGCTGTTTTGGGAAACTCTTGGCTGGGAAGTAGAATTTCTTCATCATCATCATCATCATCATCATCTTATGTGTGTTCCTATTACAACATCATATAAAGCAGCATACAAATGCAATATAAAATACAAATAACCATATCATAAAAATTGCATTGCAACATTCAAAAGCCAAATTTAAAAAACGACACGAGCTCACAGCACATACAGGGCTGATATTATGTCCCTAATACAACAGAGGTAAGTAAACTGATATTCTTCATCGGGCGCCAGGAAGACAGTGGAGTTGCTGCCACTCAGACCTGAGTGGGGAGTTTCTTTCAAACTGCCCTTCTCCCTGTTCCCACCAACGGAGGCTCCATGCAAGGTGACCACCACAGGCAGGCCCCAGATTGCAATGCTTAAATATTTTAAAGAAACAAACACATTTGAACTGGGTACTTCAGGGATTCTTTTGGATGTCTTATCCCTTAAATGTCAGCCAGATGCTAAATAAAACTTAACGAAGTTGAAGAAACATTGCTTGCATACACATGCAAAAAGCCACGGTTGGAAAATAGGACCCTGTGAAAGCGAAACTGTGCCTTTTTTCTCTGCTGGGCTGCACAAGGGCCTGAGACGACAACAGAGCTTATCAACCACAAGCATAGCATTCGTCAGCCAGATGCACCATGAGGGTGTAACATATCAATTTATGTCACAGGTCTAAGTTCTGTGACCATATGCCCACCCACAATATGATGGTGAGGTGGGGGAATGATCCAGGAAATGTTTAAGTCAAAAAGAAAAGTTGTCTTCATAAGGACTAGTTTCTTCTCCGTCTCCCATGCCAACAAAACAACTAGCAGCAGAAACAGTGCTGTCTAAACTGGGACATCCAAGCCACTCTGCAGCGCAATATGTATGACATATAGCAATCCATGAGATTCTAGCTTGTATCTTTTCTCTTTCTTACATTTATCCATCTTATCTTTCTCTAATCTTATTTCATGGGAATCCTGAACCAGAGGGCTACTCTCTACCCCATAACTGTGCTTTTCCATTTTGCTCCACTATACAACAGCGCCCCCTAGTGTTTAGGTTGGGGAAGGTACAGAAAGGCAGGGGGAAAAGCAAGCCCGCAATCTGTAGAGATGGAATTGGAGACTGGAAGAGGATGCAGCAGGTTAAAAGGACTTGTTTTAGGGAAGCAGAAGCAGAAGCAGAAGCAGAAGCAGAAGCAGAAGCAGAAGAAGAAGAGGGGGAGACATGAATCAGTGAGGCAGTGGTGCCCACTGGAAGGCCACCCCACTCATCTGATTTCCCTGCTGCCCTCCCCCATTCTCAGTCCTGCTTGCTGCGGGGAGTCTCCAACCCAGCCTTATCTCAGTAGTCCTTAGTAATGGGTGGGAAAGGTAGAAGATTGATCCTGATGAGTTGCAAAGCTAGGCAACATCTCTGGCTCACAAGAACAAGCCATTACGTTTTATTTAATTTATATATTATTATATGTATATCCTGCCCTTTTCTTACAAGAACTCAGAGTGGCTTACATAATCCTCCTCCAGCAAGTTTTACTACACTTGGACTGGGAGAGAAAGTGTTCTATCAGGTAATTCAGTAATGTGTGATCTCCAGAGATTGTATGGAAAGGCAAAATTGCATTCTTTTATCTGGCCAGCAGATGGCACTGTGTGCTCATTTTACTGGACAAAGCGAGTCCTTTTTAAGATGACCTGTGTTGTAACCTGCATTTTATGATTCTTCTTGTTTTTGAGTTTTGTTTTTGTCTTAAACAATTTTATTATGCTATTCAGTGGTGTTAGCAAGTGCTTCAAGTAAAGAAATATTTGCCTAACTCGAATTGGATGCCCCGCTTTGTCTTTGGTTCCTCCCACCAGTGGGTGGTGGCCCTCAAGAGCTTCTTCAAAGTCAAGTTGGACCATCAGGATGGAAGAGGTTTGACATGTTGAATTTGGATAATGTACGGAAAGCAACCACACTTTCGGAGCAAGTTTGTTTCTACTCTAGCCTTTACCTAATCAACTGGGAGCCAGTGTGGCAAAATGGTCAGATTCTTGGACGGGGTTTCAGGAGATCGGGGTTCTGGTGAATGCTCAGCTGTGATTCTAGCCCAGCCAAGGACTCTCAGTGGGGCCTACCTCACAGGGTTGCTGTGAGGATAAAATGGGGAGGAGGACAACTGCTTGGCTTCCTTGCAAGAGTAATATAATAATAACTGTGTTTCTGTACTCTGACATAGCAGGATGTGGCATCTCTCTCTCTCTCTCTCTCTCTCTCTCTCTCTCTCTCTCTCTCTCTTTCCCTCTCTTGCACGCACGCATGCAGACACACACACACATCTTCATGGGCAAGGTCCAGTTGACAGATTCAGACCCATGCTGGTGGCTTTAGTTATGTTTCCGGCAGTCCTATTTTCTCTTGTTTCTTACTTCTTGTGCGCACAAAGCCAATGGCTGGTTCTGCGGCAAGGAAATGTGAACCCACGCTGGAAGCTTGTCAAGATGTGAACTCCCTGCTTTGCAAAAGGAGCAGAACTTCTGTGTTAGAACAACCACTTTTTCACATTGCCAAATTCCAGACAAGCACAGCTGAGGTTTGCTTTGGCTGCAGCCACTGGATCCTCATAGTCAAACAGGTTAGTCACTGTCTGGAACACGTCTGTTTCTTCCCTCCCAAGATATCTCCAAGGCATGGAACTGAACAACTGTGTGTGGTTGAGGATTCTTGCAAGGGTTGTGTTGTATTTTATAGGCATATTGGTTGTGCAAGTAAATGGGAAGGTCAGCTCTCCTTTCTCCAGACCAGCTGGCATGAAGGGGTACAAAAAAGGGAACGACCTGGGCCAGTGCAAGGAACAGACCTTGGACCGACTCATGGAATTTTTTGCAACGTTTAAATCCTTGCTCACTTCTGAGTACCCTGTGTGGGCTTGACCAAGATTCTTACCCCAGCCTAACTTCCCTGTGCCAAAAACCTCAATTGCTACAGAGTAATCCCATCATTCCCATCATCTGCTGCCCTAGAATGCTGCAAGACCTCAGGATGGGCATTGGAGTAGGAATTATTCCCTCCTCCGCTGAACGGAGTCTGAGAACATTTGAGTTCTCATATGCTCTCTTTTTCTGACTGCATGCTGATTCATGATCTTTTTTTTTTTGGCTGGACAGAAAACCCTTTAAATCAACAAAAAAGGCTAAAAAAAGAAGGTTCAAACAGCCATATTCCTGTGGGGCTGAAGGGGAAGCAGGTATGGCCACTAATGCCACTGTGCTTTACATTACAGCCCATACCTGGTCACCAAGCTTTGGGAGAGGGTTCTTGACCTTTAAGACTGGGAGAACAGGAGAATGCCCAAACTAAACCGTTGGGAGGCAGGGAAAGGGTCAAGGGTCAGTTGAAGGGGCATGGCCTACTGGCAAACCCAGGAAAGCTGGGCCTATGCATGGGCCTCATCCATCCCTGCAGCAGACATACAGTGCAATCAGCCATGGCCAGCCAGTACTTTGTGGTGGAAGCTATTGCTGCAGGGAAATCAAAGGAATGGGTGGGATGCAGGAGGGAGGGCAGGGTCTCTCAGCCAGCGTTCCCCAGATGTATGATTGCTGATTGGCTGGCAGCCCCTAGTGACATCAGCAGCTGGCGTCCAGCTCAGGAACTGCTAGCCAAGCCTTACTCAAGGGTGACCGAGATATTCCTTGCTTCCTTTCCCAGCCATTTGCCATTAATTATGCTGCTTCTGTCCGTAACTGCAGAAATAATGAGATGGGCTGCTTCAGCATGCAAAATCGGTTCCCTCCACACAGAAATCCAGCAGTCAAGGAGGAACGTTCTAGCCCCACCTTCCCTGACAAGCTTGTTTTCTCTCTTTGGGGAAATTTGTTATATAGAGAAATATTGTACCCCTTTCCAGATGTTTTGATTTCTAGGACATATGAATCCTTCAAGAAATGGATGACAGACAAGGTCAAAGATGGGATTTTTTTCTTTATTTATACCACTGGCATTTCATGTATGCAGTTTTATTTTCCCTTAAAACTTCTGTGTTTCAACATAAACATTCCATCAGGTTGTACAACAAAAAACTTTGCATTGCCCAATGCTTTAAATCTAAAAAAAGGAAAAGAGAAAGAGAAAGAGAGAAGAGAAAGAAGAAACCATCTTGATATAATAAACAGCAGAAAAACTAAAACAGTTAAATGCCCAAACTTGGCATTTCTATATAACATGTCAGGGAGAATCTGACAGGTACTTACACCTCCACTAATTCTCTTGCACCCTGCAGATACCGTGGTGGATTCTCCTGCACAAATGGAACTAACTCTTGTGCAACAGAGATGTGATGTTTCCCAGGGGATCCCTGTAGTCAATGGGAGCAGGTCTGCACAGACTCTACCGGCCTGCTTACTTCCAGAAATGATCGTGTTAGTTCATTCATTCCCAACTGCTATATCTCTGTTCGCCAGCAGGGGGCACTGTTTGCAGATTTTGGCAGGGTACGAGTGAATTGGTAGGTGCGTATGGGCCCCATTCGATTCTGCCCATTGATCTGAGCCAGTCTGTCCATTAACAACAAAAAAGTTGTGGAAAGTCACAAAGTGCATGAAGCCGATTGCTAATTTTAAGTCAAAGCATTCAAACATCAGAAAAGAACTTTAAAACAATCATTTTCATACAAGTTTATTTCCATGACTCCATCATGTTTCAACACTTAAGGCAAAATCCCCAGGCAACCGGTGCCTCCTACGTCAGACTTCCAGGGAATGGGAAAGATGGTGTGACTCACCGAAAGAGAGAGAGAGGTGCTTTGTTTTGGCAAATCTGAACCGAATACTGCCTGGTCCAGCTGCAACTTGGAGAGGACAAGGGCTAATTCAAAAGCTACGTTTAAAATTCTGAAATCTGACTTATGGGTTTTGCAAATATTCTGCAAGCTGATATCTCAGCCTGGAGCGTAAGGCCAGAGTCTGGGCTCTTGCGACCTGGGAAGGCTGTGACCAATGACCACACAGAGGGTGGCCAGGGATAAGCGCATCTTTGAGACATGCTGGTGCCATGTTTTAAGTCCGAAATGCAGAACTGCCCATGCCCATGAGTCATTCCTTTGAATCAGGGCCAGCTCTCTCTTCCTGGGATGAGGGGCAGTTGCAGAAACATATCGGAAAGGTGGAAGAGGCTATAAAGCATGGAATGGAGATTGGGGATGAAAAGAAATGTGAATTGTGTTTACAACTGAAACTATGGCTCTGACCATCTGAAGCACGCAAGACCTAGGTTCTTTGGCAATCTAGGTGTCCAACAGTGCGCTTACACGTTCTTAGAGAAGAATACTAGTTCCATTTCCTCAAATCTGAGAATCTTGGAAGTGTGGTGGAAGGGAGGGGGACTTGGGAGATCAAAATTCAGCTTTCGGATTGTTAGATGTTCTAAATTTGGGGATCCTGAGTCCAACTTTGGAATTTTCAGATCTGGAATGCAAGTACAGTTTCATTCTGGCTGCAAAAGTGAGACCTCTTGCAATTTGGTGGATTTCAGGTGGTCTTGAAATCCATGGAATTTCTTGAAATCCATGGAAGTTCAAGGAATTAAAAACTAAGTGACTAAGAAGTAAGTGACAATGTCCCCCATTCCGTGCGTTGTTTGACTGTGCCAGCCAGGCTTCCGACATTGAATCAAACACGTGGACGTTCTCATCCCTGCATATTAGATAACAAACATCTCAGGGAGATGGTTTGATCCAGGCTTTCTTCCTGACATGCTAGCTTTCTACATGTAGGGAAACTGCATTTATATGTGGACACATTCAGACTTCTGATAGCCTGAAAATGAGAACACCGGGCCACATCTCAGGTTACCTAAGGAAGTTTCTTCTGTGGTATTTCAAATGTCTTAAATTAATAAATGAAAAAATAAGAAGATGAAACGCCATCATGCGCCTGGTGCTCCTAACCCTAAATGCATCTCCTTAGAAGAAAATCCTGTGCATCCGACAGAAGGTGCTTCCAAGTAAATGCACTCCGTCATGTGTTCCAAGGAAGCATTTGTGTCAAGTAGTGAGTGGTACTTAGTGACTTGGAACCAGTACCAGACTGGCCCTTGAAATAGCATACAGATCTATCTCTATTCGGGGTAAGACAGAGGACTTTTACTATACATTTTTTTAAAAAAAAGTGTAAATGGTTGTCTTTGTTCTTAAGAGGTCTATAGCTCAGCAACCCAGCCAATCGGTTTTCACATTGCCAACTTTAACGATCTTTAAGCTCTGATCTTCCAATTTCAGATAGTACCAGTCCTTGAAGAAGTAGCTGTGACCTGTAGAGAGAAAACAAGTCTTCATATAGTTACATCTTCCTCCTCCTCATCCTCACTAAAGCAGTGGTCAGGGCTATCTCTGCAGTGAGGGCAGGTGGTAGGTGGCAGACGGTAGGAGAAGTTTTTAGCAACAAAGTCTTCTTCTACTGTTTCCCAGGCAGGGGAACGGACCTTACTTAAAATGTGTATCTCAGGACTGCTCCCCCCCCCACACCTCCATCTTTACCTTCAAGTGGGGGTGAGGAACGTCAGCCCAAGGACTCAATTCAAGTTTGGAGAAGTTCAGAGGGACCACATTTCAGTGGTGTGTGGGATGGTGTGGGCGTTAAGGTCAACCGTGACCTCTTTCCTAATACAGGGGGTTGTGGATAGGCTGCGCCATCTTGGATTTGCCTTGGGCAGCAAATGGCTTGTGCTTGCCCAGCAGTGGAAAGAGGAGACAGGCCTGGCTCAGTTTGTGCTTGAGTTGACCAGAGCCTGTTGAATGTTGCTTGGCCTGGACCAGTCCTGGAACATTGCAAAAGACTAGATTTTGTGATGCGTGGCTTTATATGGGGATGGGTGATGAAACCCCTTGAGAGAGCCATGTCTGAAGTACAGACATAAATCTGACGGACAGTCTTTGTTTTTGCTCGAACATTTCTGTGAACGATTCTGCTAGGAGACAGAAATTCTTTTGGAGCATTAAGTTACTGCAAAATGAGTTTTCCTCTGTTCTCTAGAACTCTTTCCCTTTTCTTCCCCCCTCCCTCTTTTCTATTTTCCATTTTTAATAAAGAGAAGATGGATATAAATTAAATGTGTAAATTTGATCTGCAGTCTTTCAGCCCCCACCCTCTTCTCCCATCCAGCAAACTCAGTTCAAGGGGTGTTTTGGTCCTTGGTATACCAATGAATGCAGTTTTCTTAACCACAATCTGTGCAGCATTAAAAGTGGTTTTGATTACTCTGCTCAAGACGAGTTATTTAGACAGCCTGGATAAGTTCAAGAAAGGTCATGCTTCCTAAATTTCCTTACAGTGGTGGGGCATTTTAATTGAAGAGAAAAGCTTGTCGCGGCTTCAGGCGGAAGGCCAAGCCGTCGGCCGCCTTGGTGACCGCTGCAGAAGAGAATGTCTCGAAGAATTCGTGCAGCAGAACAAACTATCCAATCCCAGAAAAACCAGCCCCTCCACTGACTGTAGGGATAGCAGGATGACTTACCGCTTCCGCTCACATCCAACACAGCATCTAAGTTGTCTGGAACGCCATTCCAAGCATCTGCAATTAATTTAGGGAAGCCCGGGTCCATTTTCTTCTTTACTTCATTGTACCTGTAAAAAAATCATACTGTGTCAAAAAAAAAAAAACACAAACAAACCTACATGCACACACACACACACGTAATGGTTACATTCTTCCTTAATGGCTACATTCTGGGACATTCCAACAAGCACATCAAAGAGTTTTAAGGAAGAACATATGAATCATTTACGGATACACAGCCTTCTGCAAACTAGTCCCTTCCAAATGTGCTGTATTGCAGTTCCCATCATCCCCAGCCAAACTGCCCAATGGCCATGTTCCACGTGACCATTCCTGGTTATTTATTATTTATTTAAGTGATTCCATTTCTATGCCACCCCAATAACCCAAAGTTTCTCTGGGTGGCTTTTACAATACTAGAAGATAAAAATATACACAATCTTTTATGTGATCAAGACAAAACATTATTGATCATATAAAAGATAAATCAATAAAATAATAAATCACCTCAAATAAAATATATTCACAATCGGTAGACACAACCTAGCAACCAAGCTGATGCCTTTTCAACAAATCGAAGTTTCTTTAAAACCGTCCCTGGTCATAAGTAACAACAGCCTTTGCAAAATTTGGCAGTTATCAAAGCTGCTTTCAATCCACTGCAAACAGGATATACCAATCATTTTGTATTCTCCTATGCAGGGAAAGCAAACTGGGCCTAAAACCCAAGGCTTAACGAGAATGAACAAACCCAGCACTGCAGCGCCGGAGCACTGGGTTGCATGCCACAGCCAGGAAGCCCTACCTCCAAAATTTGTCCCCCGCGAAAATGTAGGTCTTCTTGTTTTTGCTCCAGTTGAAAGCTGCGTTGACCCGCTGGACATCAGGAGGCAGCCCCAGACTGGTTAGTCTCTTTGGATACCCTCTTTCCAAGGTGCTGGCTGAATACACCCAATATTCATTCCCTGCAAGAATAAAGCATTAACCGTTAACAACACAGGTTGCACTTGGAAATGAGGTTGCCGGGAAGGGCTGCATCCTTCCTTGCCGCGAGGTTCTCGGCTATCATCTCCATTCAGCTGAAGAGGGAAGATGGCTTGGTATTAACAGAGACAGACCTTGCTGAACGGGGGGAAGCATTTGGGGGTGACTTGGTGGATAGTGCCATGATGGGTGGTTCTGTTGAATGAACCCAGTCCGAGTGGGCTTGTGCAGTTAAAGTCACATGCGTAGTTTGAGAAACAGAGAGAAGTCTGCTTCCTTCTAGGGAATCCTCTCTCAGGAACTACAAGTCCCAGAGTTCTTTGAGCATATCCAGGAAAGGAGGGAAGCTGGTGGGAGAACTGAAGCAGCAAAATACCCATCACATATTCAGACTGACTCTGGGAAACTCTCTTCCGTGCTTGAACGTTGATAGGACAGGGGAGTTCATAAAAGAACAAGCTGAGTGGCTTACACAGGGTTCCTCTGCCCAGTATTTTTTTTGAGGGGAGGGGTCCATCATCTGTTGCGCCATACTCACCCCATTTAGCAAGGGGGAGGGGCTCTCTCTATAGGATTTTTGGGCAGCTGGCATACAAAGGAACTGGGGGGGGGGTGCACACCATCAAGACTGCACACAACTAAGCCTAGGTTGAACACACACACGCCTGTCCATCAGTGAACGAATCCAATCTGATTATTTTCAAGCCAGCCCCAATTTGTTTCTTGTTATGGGTTACAGAAGTAGTTCTTACTCTGCTGAGATTGGAACACTCCACTGTTTTTGCTTGATAATACTTAAAACACCGAGGTTCCGCTTACCGGCCTTTTAGTAATTTGCCAGTTTGCATCGTTTGGGGATTCTTCTTATATTGGGCTAATTGAATTTCTTCTGAAAACAGTATTTAAATCTTTCTTCTTCCTACGGTCCCTGGGAATGGGGAGGGGGCTGCGGGTTAGGTTGTGATGCTTGGACACAGACAAATGAGATGTTTTGGCTGCATCCCGTTGATCATGTAATCCAAACTCAGCTGCCATTCAGCCATATGGAATTCATTATCAACCCTTTTCCCCTCTCAAAAAATTGTGCAGCAGCTTTGAGCCATATTATTGAACGCCCCCTCCACACACACACACACACATGCGCGCGCACACACACACGCGCGCACACACACACACTTTTGCTTCACAATGCCTGGAGATCTTTAGTCATACTGCAGCAGAGAACAACAAGCAGTTTTGATTTGTTTTGTCTTGTCGTGCCTTGATTTTGCTGGCTCAGCTCTTTATGCATCCAAAAACAACCTCCTAGCTTTGCTGGATTAAGCAAGGCAGTCGAAAAAAAGACATTTATGGAGTCACAAACACACACTCACACATAGCGTGTCAATGGGCGGGGGGGGGCGTTTTTGTCTGTCTTCCTCCACTCTTTCCCCACTCCATCCATAGAGAGCAGAGCTGTTCAATGGGCTGTTTGGAAGACAGAGAAAGGTTTTGAATTTTGGCAAGGAACTAAGAGGGATGGGATGAGGAAATGATTTCGGGTCATTTTAGAAAAAAGATGCCGGGTCTGAGTCGGCACATTTCCAAAGAAACAGCATGATTTGCAGACTAAAGAAAAATGCTTTTAAAATGCATATGTTTTGGGGGACCGTGGTGAGAAAGAGGCATTCTTTTGAAAAATGTCCACAGATCTTGCCACTGGGGTGCTTTAAAAGCAAGGGTGAGCAAATCTCTCAAATTTGGAAAGGCTTTGGGGGCATTCCCCAAAGGAAAGGGGGTCATAGGCCAACAGAGTTTGTAAAAGAGTTTCTAAAAGCTGAACTTTACAAGAAGCATTTCGGACCTTTAGAATGAGATAAAAACAGTGCAGAAGTTGGAAACCATCCACGAACCAGTGCTTAGGGAAAAAGGAGTGAAACCAAGGAAGGGGGATCCTCCATGAAGCCACGGAGGGCTGGATTTAATGCCCAGCTGGCCAGATCTCACTCGCACCTCTGCTTTTCCATGACTCGCACCTAGAGGAATGATTGAAAGGCTGGAACTAAAAACAGAGTAGTAATGCCATGTACATTTAGACCAGAGCTACCTGAAAAAAAGACGGTCTTCTCCTCTTGAGGGGCCTCATACACAGCATCAATTTTTTCTGGCACCTCCGACCAGAACGTAGCAACGAGCAGAGGGCCAGTGGGTCTGTTTCGTTGGTTCGCTGTCCTCCAGATGAATCTGGAGAGAAAAATGGCCCAGAGTTTACAATGAGCTGATTCATGGGCACATCTGTTTCTCATCAGCACTGCTAAAACTGCGGGCACGTGTGTGTGTGTGTGGGTGTGGGTGTACGCCCACAGATGCCCAGATGCGCGCGCACACACACACACACACACACAATTCTTCTGCAACATAAGCGTTGAACCTCAAGGGTCTACAAGGGTATATGCACCAAGAGCTGGCCATTGCTCTTTTCTTGGGGTGATATTTCTTTCCGACAGACATCTTCATCCGCTGTGCGCAGCCATTAACTGTTGATAACAACTTCTCCAGCACTCACATTAATCCGTAGCACAGAACAAAACTGTATTTGGTGCTCCAATTATCCCAGCAAATAAAGCCATTTACAAGGCACTTAAACCTTCCAGCCATTCGCATCACTGTGCGTTGAACAGATGGACGGTGCGTTTGGCAAATGGCAGCTTTTGTACTGGGCAGATTACTGTGGACGTTTATGATTGTCGCAACTAAAAAGATCAGATCTAATAATCATCTATCAAACAGCTTGGCTGTAAATGAAATCTGCAGCATTAAAACTGTTCATCAGAGGAATAACAGGGGCGATTTAATGACTGCATTTTATGTAGAGGCAGTGTCCCCTCCCGGTTTATGAGCACTGAAAAACCACAGTTTGATTGCAGTGGTAGGGCTTAGGGGAAGAAGGGACAGATGATTAACAAACACACTGTTGTGGGTTTCTCTCTCCTCTCTAGTCCTGCCAACCTCTGCTTGATGAAGAGGCCATTTTGTTCAAAGGACCAAAACAAAACTGACCAAGCGAGCAAGCAAGCAAACCCCAGCTTCCACCAGCTGGCTAATTTTGCAAGCAACAAGTTTTCTGCAAGCGTTATAATAAGAGGAGACGGCCATTTGGTCAATGTCAAGCAAACAGCCTGTCAGCATCAGGACCCTTTACCAGCATGATCCAGCTTGGGATTTTATGAAACTGGAGCTGGAGTTCAGGAAAGAGTGGAAGAGGAGAGAGAGTGTTATGGCCTGTAACTGGAGGAAGATCTGTGTCATCTTCCAGAGAATTGTGCACAGACTCTTCTGCACTCATCTGCCACGATCATTTACTGATTCGGTTTCTGCACTGCCCAGCTTGCAGATGACCTTGGGACAATTTGCAATCTTTACAAAATCAGAGAAAATAGCAGGACAATACTGAAATATTAATATTTGGGGAAAATTAAAGCACAAACCGGATGGTGAAAGCACCAGATTTGATGCTCAGTGTTTCCTGGAAGAGGAGATCTTAATCTGGCATCTACTAAATGCATGCACATCTCTGAGCACATCCATGGCGGAAAGGGCATTCCATGCGTGGGGATGTACCTCATAGAAGGCTGGGCAGAGCAGGGCCCTGGAGGCATGCACATTATTCTCACCACCCCATGGGCCCTTCCCATGGACCCTTCCCCAGGGGACAGAGGACCAGTCACTGCCTCTCAGCCCAGCCTATTTCACAGGGTTCTTGCAGCAAGGATAAGATTGAGAAAAGGACAAATATGTAAGCCAGCTTGAGTTCTTTGGAAGGAAAAAAGGTGGTATATACATATAATGATTGAATAAATAAATAAATTGGTGGGCCAGGTAGATGCCCTCTCATGCCAGTTTCAAGCAAATATATAGGAGAGGATGAGGTTCATAACTGTTATTGTATTGTATTGTACTGTATTTCTCCCACCATTTCCCTGCAAGGAACCCAAGGTGACTTACATGATCCTCTTCTCCATCATATCTTTACAACAACCCTGTGAGGTATGTCAGACTAAGAGTCAATGACAGGTCCAAAGTCCCCCAGCAAGCTTCATGGTCAAGTTGTGACTAGGACTCAGTTCTGTGTTTGTATTTTCCTTAGTTAATATACAGCACTTGTTTACACCTGCTAAGATAATCTTAGTCGTATATCACACTATTGTCACCTGATATTTGGCTAAAATGAGAAGAAGTTGTGGTCATCCAAAAGCAACTTCAAATGGAACTGCCTTAGAACAACAGGCTGATGGGAACTTTGTGCCCATCCAATCCTATTCTGAGCTAGAATTAGTTCAAGAGGACCATCTGAGCACTGCAGGGGAATTCAAGGAAACAGCATCCGAAAAGTCAACAGGGGAGAGCTTACTGGGCATGCCGCCATCAGCCGTGACTTTTGGGTGGCTTGAAACCTGGAAGTTTATTTCCTGAGTATGTTTGGACGGGTTATTGGGTTTCAGCCATAGCATCTTACATTTCTGCATGGCACAGAATCATTTCTGCATGGCACAGATTTCCAAACCATTGGACTAAATCTGGCCATTTTTTTAAATGCACATTTTTAAAAACGTCTGGGACAATTCAATAGCCAACATCCTTTCTGTTGTTACCATTTTCATATCAGTGGAACAGGGTTTTTCCATTTTTCAGAAATACTATTACAGATGTTGCTTTTAATGTCTTTGCAGCTGTTCCTGAACAAACAGAGAAATCTCTTGAAGTAGAGAAATTAAGGGTATAAGAGGAAGCTCTCAGACAATGGGGATTGATTCCCAGTGTCAAAGTTTGGCAATAAACAGCCAGAAAGAAATGAGCAGTACAACAAGCATAAATCATGAGTCAGCGGACTTTGCCAGGCCAAGTTCTTGCCTGAATGGAAAGTTTTTACAGTCTTTCTGGCACTGAGCAAGCCCTCCTTCTTCTCTCAAGCGCTTAGCAGCCTATTATGAGGTTTTCAATCAGGTCTTGTTTTCCTCCCTTGCTGTTTCTCTCAAATAGCTTTTAGTTGCGAGGGTCCCTCTCTGTCTCTGTTGCATGTCTTTATGTACATGACATTTAGAGTGTATGTTTTATTTATTTCATTTGTATACCACCTCGTAGCCAAAGATGTCTCGGTAGTTTGCAGAAGTTCATTAAAATGATGACAACAATGCAATAAAATAGCATAGATTCAAGAAATAAATCAACAAGTTTAAAACAGCTAAAACCAAATGATAAAAACAGACAACAGCTAAGAACAGCAAAAGAGTGACTCTGCAAAAAACCTGGGATGGAAAATCCCTTTAAGCTTCTGGGTGGCCATGTTAGTCCTTAAAGACCTGAGAGAAGAAGGACCTCTTAACCTGGCACTGAGGTTCAACATCAACTAGGCTGCAGTGAGATTGTTCCATAGGTGAGGGGTCACCATCGTGAAAGCCCTTCTCCTTGTTGCCACTCTTCTCACATCTCTCAGAGCTGGCACTCATAAGAAGGTCCAGAGGTTGACCATCTTTCATAAACTGCCCAACAGGTTTTGTTTATTAGGCAGTATAAAATTTATGAGACCTGGTTCCTCCTTCTGGGCTAGTCATCACAGTAGAATTATATACCCCCCTGCTGCCTTCCCATCGTCTTCCCAAATTTGCTCCTATCTTTGTCTCAACCTTCTCAAGGCCTTCATCTTCTTGTCCTGAGATTTGGTCACTACCATTGACCTTTCACTGACCATCTTCTCTATCTCCGGGGCTTTGCAATCTCAGTTTCAGCATTCAGGGCTGGCATATGAAGAGGGAATCCCAGGTTTTGGAAGATGCCCTCCAGGGGTACCCTGTCTCAGTAAGCTGATCTTCCTACCAGCATGGCTACTGGTGGTGCTGTCCCTTCCCCACAGCTTGCTTGCCAGGGAAAGAGCTAATCAGCAAATAGGCGGTGGCATCCACCTTCACACCAAGATCGAGAAGGTGAGCAAGCAGGTTGCAAAGGAGAACAGAAGGAGCAGGTCCAGAAAACTGTTGTTAGTGGTGTGGACCTCTGGAAGAACCCAACCCAGCTGACCCTTGATGCTGGCTCTGGGCATGGGACTTCCCTGGACTATAGCATCCATCTCCAAGCTTCCCGTGCCATGATAGGCCTATCCTAGCATGTTTTGAGTATTTCCCTGAAGTTGCAGATTATTTCTAAAGGTGAGGAATCTTGTGTACTATTTCTCTTCTCTTCATGGAGGAATCCTAAAGAAACTTCCAAGGAACCACTGGAGCTCCCCCTATCAGAGCATGAAGGCCATCCTTAGCCCATCCATATTTGTGAGTATGAGCATCACCTTGGCATCATCTTTCAGTTTTTGCTTAATGCCAAAGAATTGATCTACACTGTTCAAATCGCTCTCACTTACCGGTCTTTGAAATAGAAGATTTCCCCTCGGATTTGAGCCACAGCATCAAAGACAATGTCTTGGCCGCAGAGCTCAGGGGTGACTGGTCCAAGTGTAGGGCTTGGACCCGGGCCAGTGTCAGTGGATCCCCCTGTAAACAGAGGAAAGCTTGATCATGTGTGGTGCCATCATATTAGAAGCCAGCCAAAGAACAAATCTCACAGTGCCTCCCTTCAAAGGTACTTCTGCTAGAACTAAGAGGAAATATCTGAGAAAAGTAACCTAGAAAAGTGAAAGGAGAGGCAAGAGGGAATCATTAATGAATTGTATGGATTTCTTAGACATCTTTCTCTGGAAGGAAGGCAAAGCAACTTGCAGCAACTCAGGCACAATTTAGAGCAGCTGAAACAATCATCTGCTAAATACGCACGTTGGATAAAATAAGGGTGTAGAACCTTCCTCTGATAGGGGGCTAGGCTGACCTTTAGCAGCCCATCTGCAGGCTGGATGGTCAGTGGCTGTGTCCCCAGCCACTTATATCATCAGACCTCATCCACAAGCCCTACCCCTGGTATCATGCCAGGCTGCGTGGCCAGATTGGAGAATCTTGTAGGCCAGAATGGGCCTGTGGACTTTGGGTTCTGTACTCACCCCATAAAACAATTAATTATTAATGATAACCATAAGCCATTCTGCTAAACAGCCCTTTGACCCTGAGATCTGATGTGCTGTCATAGTTATAGTGTTGAACAGGTCTTTAGAAGATCTGGGTTCTCCTCCCATTGGCCTCATTGGCCAGGCACTTACTCTCAGTCCAACCTCAGAACTCTTGTGAGGATAAAATGTTGGTGAAGGAGAATTGTGTAGCCACCACGGGTTCCTTGCCAGTGGGAAAAAAGTTGGGATATAAATATATTAGTACATGCCTGAGAATGGAGGCAGATTTGAGCCTGGTACCCAAAGATGGCAAAGTTGCACCAGATGGACATTGCTAGGCAAGGGCATTCCATAATGGCCACATTGATCTTCCACTAGTTGCGTTGTTTAGTTGGCCACAACTAATATTGATGTGGCTTCAGCCCAAATGTGTCAGCTGTGCTTTGGATGAATGGAAAGCATTACCGTAAAGTTCCTGGATTCCTCTGATATCATCCTGGGAAAGTCGGAAGTGCTTGGTGTAGGTATAGATAGGAGCCATGAGTGCTCCAGGATCTTCAGAATGTTCTAGTCCCATAGCATGTCCAAATTCATGAGCAGCAACCAAGAAAAGACTGTAGCCTGGAAGAAAAGAAAACTTTTATCGCCCCAGAATGCATTCTCAGGAATAGCATCATGACTGATCAATTGGTTGACCTATGCAAAAGAGGTATGACCATAATATGGACAAATTTTAGTTCATAACTCTGCCATTTCAACCTTTTCGAGGAAAGAAAAAAACACTATGCGAAAGTCTGAAAAGAAACCAATAATTGGTGGTTGGGAATAGTGGGTGAGGCCTGAAGAAGGAGGTGTAGATATGGATGGGAGCCATCCAAGGTTCAATAACCCAGCTCTAGCAATTACACTGCACTGTTTCTTTAGTTTCACAGATTAATCTTGAGAGTAAACTCTTCACAGGGTGGCCGGGTTTAGCAACATGTAGGACATTTCATGAGTTGAAAATGTTTGCCTTCCTGTTCCACATTTGACGCATTGGAGGCTATGTGGTTTTGTGTTGTTTAGCAAGGAATGCTACAGACTTTGATGTCCTAAATGATATTTCTGAGAATAAGGGAAATGTGCAATCGAAATGTTTTGATTCACCAAGGACAAACTTAATCACGGTCTGTTTTGCAAGCTTTCCAAAAAAAGAAAATGATTAAGCCAAGGGAAAGCTGTATGAATTGCATCCTTTTAAAGAAGCGGAAGCTTCCTCCACTCCTGCCCTGTGATTTGCTCACTAAAGGTAATGGGTCTCTAAAATGGGACAAGCTTGGTCACAAAGACCAGAGTTGGGCTTTATATGCCCTCTTTTCTCCTCTTCCATGCAACCATGGAATGTGGTTGGTGGTTGGACTGCTAGGAGAACCTCTGTAGGACAGATTGGGACATCCATCCAATGGCCTGGATTTGGCCCTCAAACCTGGGGTTCAGCATCCCTGTCCTCACAAGACATTGTTTGCTTCAATCTACAGATAATCACACGAATTCACATCAAGCATGACTTAATTAAGGCATTGCATCCGGTACTTTTAACAGGATTCCTCTGTATGAAATATTGTTTTAGCTATTGAATTGTTTTTCAACTTGGAAAAACATTAAACTGTTTTATATTTAATGAGTTTGAAGTTTACACTGCTCAAAAATATAGGGCTGTTTTCTTGTACTAGGATCTGTTCTAAACCTGCTTTAGGGGGTGTTGGAAACCATGCAGAGAGTTTGGGTTATTGGCCAGTGCAGAAACGAAGTAAGTAACGAAAGTAAATAGAAGTGTGGCATATACAGCAGCCTTTCCAAATAGATGCCCTCTCTGGGTGTGTTGAACTACAACTTCTGTCGTCTTCAGTCATGCTGGGTGGGGAGATAACAGCATTCCTCTTGAAGACTCCCAGAGAAGCCAAATCTTGGCACGTACTCTTGGCACGTACTCAATTAATTCCTCTATGAGAAAAAGGAGTACCTTGGTCTGGACAAAATCCCCACTTGCGGTCTTCATCATAGTTGCTGGTTGTGGAGCACCACATCTTCCCGTCCTGACGACCGGAGCTGGTGCAGGAGTCATACTTATTTCCCAGGAATGTGAAAGGAAAAACACAGGGCTGACCTTCTGAATTTCCACCAACTGTTGACATGGCTGTGGGAGAAAATTGGGCAGAGGTGTTCTGAGCAGGTTCTTACTCTGCACCTCCACATTCTGTTCTTTGACAGGCTTGTAGATGCAGCCTGCCCTAGATCCAACTTTTCTGGAGTTCCATTTTAACCAGAAGAATCTCTAAACATTAATTCGGGAATCGGGACATGCAGCACTTAGTTCCTTTCTTTCACGTTCATTTTTCCTTATGAATGTCTATACAGTCACTGACAAAAGACTTCAGAAGCACTCTCTTGGAGGGGCTGTATGTAAGATTACAGTTTGAGCCATTGTTTAACCAATGGATATCTGTTCTCCCGGTCAGATTTGGCCTTGGGTCTGTCTACATGCTCCTACTGGGTTCCCAAATGGCCACATGCTTCTCCCTGACTGAACATCTTTTCCTGCCACATCAATTCTTCCCTGGCAAACTGGCTTTTGTGTACTTGGCTCCAGAAGGCTGAAATGCCTCTCTTAAGGCTTGGCAATGGGCAAAAAGAGCTCTAGTTAGCACTTCTATGCATGGTTAGACAGAAGAAGGCCTTACAACTTTCTACTTTCTCCATCCAGGTAGAATTCTTTTCTGTCTAAACCTGCGTACAAACTTCTGGCATTTTCCAGAAGTTTAATCCCACCCCTTTTGCCTGAAAAGTTGTTCTGAAATTGCATCTGGTCCTTGGGCAGAAAGAAGTCCCCACTCATGGGGTTTAATTTCCAGTGGTTGTGGGGAAATGCGTAGGGTCAGAGGAAGATGCATGGCAGCCTGAGGAGCGCTGGAAGTCTGGATTGGGATCCCAGGTAGGTTCAATTCCCCCCTTGAACTGGGTTCCCCAAGCCCAGTATAACATTTGTAAAGGGGGAACAATAATCAAACACTGGGCCAGTCATCCCAGAAGAAACTTCTGGTGATGTGGACCTTGAATTCTAGGGAGAAGTTGCCATGCAGAAATTATCTAAGCATTCCTAATTATCAGAATATAGGCTTGCTTGGATGCCCACCATCAAGCCCTCCTCTACCATTTACTGGGTACAGAAGTCTCTTAAGCAGTAAACCTCATAGCAAGCATAAAACTACCAAGCGCTGTAAAATATCTACAAATGCAAGGTATCTACAGGGTTGAGGTTTGGGTACAGATGCTAGCTAGCATTCTATGTCCTGTTCAGGCATGGATATTTATCCCTTGGTGCTGACTGTATAGCACCACAGTGTCCTGAAGTATGGAGAAATCATTATGGCTTCCTTCCTTCTCTGTGTCCGGAGAGACTATGTTTTTATCATCCTCTGGATGATAAAAATTTGGAAGGGAATCTTGCTTTCATTCAAAAAACTCCTACATGTTCAACATTTAGTTGAGTTACTCCACCTGTCTCTGGACAGAATCCAAATTTCTTATCGCGGTCATAATCTTCAGTGGTTCCACACCACCTGTATCCATCTTGTCTTCCTTCCGTTGTACAACTGTCGTAAGTGTTACCTTGAAATTTGAAGGGGAACTTGCATGGCTGCCCATCCGAATTTCCACCCATCGTGAAAAGTGCTGCAGAGGAAGTAAGAACAGCAGTTCCATACTGGGAAAACGTCATTGGTGCCCTGGTCTGGTGTTACCACACTCTTTATGTGATCATTAAGATGCCATGAGACCATATTCTCTTGCACGTACCAGCCTGTCCATACATTAAGAACATGGTCATTCAACTTACACTCATGGGGGCAGAATCCATATTTGCCATCTGTATCAAAGTTGTATGTTGTCGAACACCAAAGGAAACCGTCGCTACGTCCTGAGTCTGTGCAGCTGTTGTATTCTTTGTCATTGAACAGAAATGGGAATTTGCAGAATTCGCCGTCTGCATTGCCGTATTTCACCCTAACAACTTGAAAGAGAAGAAAGGAGAATGCATCAATAGCACCTGGAATGTGCATCTAGAAGTTTCTATACATGAGACTTCCAGGGGACTGTTACTCTAATGTAATAGCATTCATATTTTTTTCAATGTCAATTAAAATCCGAGCATTGCACAAGCAACTTTTCTTTTCCTGCTGTTCTGCTACATAACCTCTAGATGGCACTGTGGTTCACTAGAATAGCACATGTACACAAAAAGAAACCACACTTCCATTTGCATTCACAACAAAATGCCCCATTTTCCCTGCTCTAAAAACAAACCAAATCAAAATGAATCAAAGAGACACGCGGCCAAATGAAATAAAATGAGATAAGATGAAAAGCATTGGTTAGACTCAGAAGCAAAATCAGAATGTCATGATGCAATTGCCTTCTATAGGAAAGCCTTAGTTTTTATCTGCAGGATTTCTAGATCTGGCATTTCTAGATTTGCAGGATTTCTAGATCCTTAGTTTTTATCTGCAGGATTTCTAGATCTGGAATTTCTAGATTTGCAGGATTTCTAGATCTTTAGTTTTTATCTGCAGGATTTCTAGATCTGTGGTCTCTCGTGGCTTGAATTGCGATGAACTGCCCAAGGAACGGCATCTACTGGGTGATCAAAAAATAAATGAAATAAAGTGCTGTTCCCTTGGGCAAGCAGGAGGCCGAATCTGTTTCCCAGGTGTATCCACGACTGGTGCATTGGAGCCCTGGATGATGCCTACCCTGTCCTTCTCCCAAAGTCCAAAGCTCGTCATCGTCAAAGTGGGAGTCTCCTCCAACCCCCGGCCCGGGTGCAAAGGCATGTGCAAGAAGCCCATCCTTGCCATCAAACGGATATCCATCACCGTGCTCTGTGGAAGGAAAGGCCAAGGAAATCTGTTAGAGAAACGTCACAGCTCAGCAACAGAATTTGACCAGTCTTCTCATTATTCTCTCGTGTCCATGGATCCTGCGGACTGTGCTCTCTGGAACTGAGGAGTGGGGATCTCTAACTATTTACACTTTCTAGGATTCAGCAAGTTAACGTTTCCGGGACTATGTGTAGGGAAACCATTACAGTTACAACGACATAAGAAAGGGATGGTTGTAGTGTAGCTACTGTCCTGCTTCTAGTCCCAGAGCACACCATCTCATACATATTTGCACAAAATTAAGTTCCATTCGATTTAACAGGGCTGATTCCCAGATGAGTTCATCTATGAATAGGAATTATTCTATCAACCACTCTTCTGTTTTTTCTTTTGCTCTTCACTTTCCATGCTGACATTACAAAAGCCCTGTTGGTAACAAGACCTCCACAGCAATGCCTTTGCAGTGTGTCTGGATGACTTGTAAGCCTTGTTGAATCTTCTGTCTGCCTGCAACCGAAATCGCCTGACATTCAGCCCCAATTTCCCACATATATGTAGACAAGAACAACCCAGAAGCAAAGTTAAATAGGTGGAAGGCCTATCAAATAATGGTCATGTAGCTCATTAATTGTAGATTGAGACCAGGTGCAGACAATATAACTCCCCATTCCAGGGCTGAGTGTGGGTTGTCACTGAACCAGGGTCAGATTCCTGGTGAATTCTCACAAATGTAAGGGAAGCTCAGCAGGGACTCGGACTGAGGGCCATTGCAAAGCCAGTCAGAGTCTGGGGAACCCAGCCCAGAGAATCCATTGGATTCCTACCTCCAGATGGACTCTTCTCGCATCCCTCTTAGCAAAGGCCTGAAATTACAATAACTGTTGGAAATACAGCTTCAACTTTTCCTTTCAGCAAAGAGAAAAATGGGAAAATTCAAGAAAAAGGGAGCTTAAAAAAATCTAAACCTCTCATGGCAAATATCAGAACCATCAGGGAATTCCACTTTGTCTGTATTCTTTCAGTTTTTCCTCCCTGGACAGCCACAACCATTGAATCAGTCCTTCTCTCAGCCAATCCCACCTCACTGGGTTAAGATAAAATATGTGTCCATGTGCATGCAGTTGGCACAGGGGTGCATGTATGCATCTGTAATCTTTGTTTTGGAAACTTCAACTGTTTTATGCTGCTTGGATGTGTGTGTGTATTAAGAAAAAGGCTTGGTTAAACCAATGTTGCAGCTATGCAGAGTTTTGTTCCACCCAAAGATCTTCAGCATCATGTTTGCCCTCTTTTGCTTCTTCCCTTCTCCCCAACATTTTTGGCCCCCTTCATCTGATATTCAGGGTCTCCCCGCATCTCAGTACTTATGAATAAGCCTTTTGCATCTGTTGACCCAAGTTGTTCTAAGTCTCTGGCTTCTTCTAGAGGTGGTGGCCAGTTCTTGGCCACTCCTGTTTTTTTCACCGAAAGTTTTTCCTGGAAAAGCAAACAGGTTGGCAGGGGCATAACCTTGTCATTCATCGCTTCCTCACCACTGGCCTGGCCATCAACATTGCCTGTGGGAACTTTCGCCTCACTGAGGGCCTTCTTGGTTTGATGCGGTGCCACTCAAACCAAACCCCAGTTACGCAAACCTAGACCTCCGCCTGGATATGTGGACATTGTTAGGTTAAGGCCACCAAATGCTCCACTAGGAAAGCGAGAGCTCGGAATAGCAGCCCAGCCTTATCTAGAATTACCAACTTGGACTAACATCACAAATAATGTGATTATTATGACATGGTTCATTTTGTGGTTGTCTGGTGGGGAGATTCATTTTGCTTTCAGGTTGATCAAAAGAAAAACAGAGTTTAGGAATAAAAATGGTTTGTGCCAGAAATAACCTCAATATACACCCCAAACTTCTGGGCTTGTCTACTATACTCATACCAAACAATCGGGCTTTGTCTTTCCCAGTCTAGGGATGGAAGAATCTTTGCAATCTTTCTCAGTGCCCATTTTTCCAGTTTTAAGCACATTTCAGTTTGAACTTGGAGAATTTTTCTGTTCCCATGATAATCCACAAGCATTTTTGTACGCTTCTACTCAGACGTGTGTATATGCATTATGCATGTTTTTTTTGCTAATGTATACATTTGGACTAACATTTTAACACAATGCATGTTAATATCATATCCCCTAAAATATACATTTCAGTATGACTGTTTGGATTGGTGAACTCCATATGACATTCACACGTTAGTAAACAGAATATTAAAAAATGCGTTTTGTTAGGGAAACCGCTTCCAAAAATCTTATACAGTAACAAAACTGAATACAGAAGGTGTTAGCAGAAATGTGCCTATAAAATGCAATAGATTTCCATGTGAACTTAAAAAAGAATCTGTGCTTGGGATGAATTGAGCTTCAGACTGGAAAAGAAACTGAGAGAAACCAAATTGAGAGGAAACCAATTTGCACAGGGAATCCCATGCATGCCAACAAAGAAGGACTGGGAAAGCCATGATACAGGGATGCTGCTGCTGATGATAATGATGATATTATTATGTTTATTATTGTTGGTGTTATTATTAGATATCTACCCCATCGTCCAAAATTGATCATGATGTCTGCTTCTCCATCATGAATTCGGGAGAATTCCAGTGGTGTGACATCACTCCAGACTTTGAAGGCTCGTGCAAATGCATCATCCACCGTTTCAGAGTCCAGGTCTGGAGTGTAGCCTAAAATCCTTCACCATCAAAGCAAGACCCCCCCCCCCCGCAAATAAAAAGAAAGAAAAGCAGAGGAGAAAAATACAGAGAAAGGTTAATAGACCATTAACAGCTTGCTTGGATAGCAAAGAACTGCTGAGTCTGTGTGAGGTTTGCACCATTTTGTTCTAGGCCTTTAATGCATGCACTAGAAGAAGGGAGCATAAACAGAAGTGCAGGGATGTATCCTGTGCCAAACTTTGGTCCATCCAGCATACTTCATTGATGGGCAGCAAAGGGTAATGCCAGGGTTTCTGAGTGGGGTCTTCCCAGCCCAACCTGGAGGTTCTGTTGATGGAAACTGGGAGCTTCTGCATGCAGAGAAGATGTTCTACTCTGAGCTCCCAGGAAGAGCATGCAAGAAACTTTGGAAACCACTTCATAATGGATCCAATCCTTGGTCCCTCTAGAATAGTATTGTAGACAACACAGGCAGTGGCACTGGGGGTTTTCAGGAGGCATTTTACTCCTGAACAAGGCTGTTGTGCTTTGACAAGTATTTAGTGGAGGAAAACTGTGGAGGCCATTACATGAAACAAGAGGCTGTCTCGGTGTACATCTTTTAGATGCCAGCATCTTACCGATATTTCTAAAGTTAGTTTTCCCCTTACCTTTTCCTTTTAAAGCCAACATTTGAAATATGCCAGGCAGATGCATTCTGGGAGTGTCTGAGGAGCCTGCTGTTTGCAAGTATGTGTTAATTATTAATATTTTCCTATCACCTTACTAGCTAAAAAGCAGCCAACATGATGCACCAGTATTAAAAGCTCTAGTGGTGTTTGGGAGCGAACCCTGGTGTGCTAAATGCCTGTCTCCCCCATGTGCGAAGGGGGAACCCACATACCCCAAAGCACATCTGTACACGCCTGCAGTTCCCAATTGGTATGTGTTCCCAAGGTCTTTCCTGCGCCCCACAACCTCTGAACAGCCCAAGTCTCCTTCTGGGCATGAAAAGAAGGTCTGTACCATCCCCAGCAGGGGGACTTGTCCCCCCTGCCTCTGCAGCAGCACCCAATCTTGGTGATCAGCTTAGCGGCACGGAAGCAGCAAAAGGCCCCCTTACACCACCAGTAGGGAATTGGCCCTGGGTGCCTAGACGTTGCTCACACCTACACTCGTGCCTTTAGATGCATATGGAAGGCCTTCTTGATAAGGGGCGCTTTTTCAGAGCTCCATTAGGCCAGCCGCTGTATGTCTCAGATCACAGGTAACACAAGCCCTGACCATTGGCCACGCTGGATGGGATGGATGGGAGATACAGAGCAAAACCCAAGATTGCTGCATGGAGCATGTTCTTCTCATCCCTGTTCGCCCTATCTTCTTCTCAACGCCACACAGAGCCCTTCAACCATTTTATCTTCCTTTGGTGGTGGTGGGGGGGGGGGATGTTTACAAGCTTGCCCTATGATTCATCCTGGATTCATCTGTTTCTGCAAAGTCAGAGAAGCAAAAAAGACGTCTCTCTCCATCTCTCCCTGGAAAGGATATTGCAAGATGCTTTAATAAAAACGGCAGCAAAGCACAAAGCTGTGCTCTATCTGCGGTTTCCTGCAGGGACATTCCACTGGTATTCAGTGGGGCTCACTCCCAATGAACAAGCAACATCAGGCACTTCTTTGTTTATTGATTTGTCCATGTGTCCTTGCTGTGGCCAACACCATCCTCTGTGGGAAACCTAGATGCACACCGGCTCTTGATGCTGAGCCACGGGGCTTAAACAGACATGGAAATCATTAAGAGAGCCCCGCTGCATTTTGTCTGCTTAAGACTTCTTCAACCAGACTTTAATGGGCGATGAAGTGCTGGTTAAAATATGTGCTGCCCAGATCACACTGTAATTTCTGGTCTGCTCTGTTTCAGCAGACATACCATGGCTGTGGGGTTAATATATTTTCTCCAGCTTCAAGTGCCAGATCTAAATTTTTAAAAAGAGAGAGGCAGACACTTTGGAGCCTGTGGTGTTTTGTTCCATGGAGCTTAAGAGAGTAGCAGTGTTTTGAAGGGAGGCATGGCGATTATTCTTTTAGAAGTCACAACATTATGGAAGAAGAGGGCATCCCTTGAAGGGAAGAGGTGGCCTTTTTCATAAGCAGCATTGCGTGCAAACAGTCCTGCAGCTTCACTAAGCTTGGAGCATCCGAAAGCCTTGAAATGTTGATCTGGGGATCCTACAGCAGGCTCGTGACTTGCTTTGTCCAAGACAAAAGGTTACAGATTCAGAGCAATCCCACCCTGCTCAATCTTACATGTACATTTTATTTCTCCCTCCTCCTCCCTGCCCACTCTCTCATTTCTTTTGACCCCATTTCCAAAGGAAAGTGAACATCAAACATCTGGAAAGTTGAAAGTTCTACTAGAACATAAATGGCTTCCTTCTTGGGGCAACCAGCCTAGACAGAAGTTTGTGCCAGATGGTACATACCTGTAGGTGACAAGATTTTTCTCCCATTTTGGTTTTCTAGGGAAAAAATTATAATTGGCTACATCTGGATTACCACAACGTGGCTTCTTCATTGTTTCTATGGTGTTTTGGTCCAGTTCTCCTGTCTCGGTAAGCCCAAAGAATTTCTGCATTTTCTTCAAAGTGTCTTTTAGCACAAACAGGTTGCACTTGTCTTTGGGACAGCCATAGTACTTGTTCAGGTATTGCTTTAAGGAAGAAGAAAAAACACAATTACCACTGGTGGTTTTCATTGGTTAAGCCTGGAAGCTTCCCTGACAACATGTGGTAAACATGAATCCTTGCATTCCGGGGACAGGAACTTTTGCCAATGAGAAGATCCCTAGCCATGCCTAGCTGGGACTAGGGATGTGTGAGGAAGCCATTCTGGGGGTGGGAATCTCATGGGTTCCCTGGGCATGGCTCCTTGGAATCTAGTCCACTTTGTCATGGGTCTGAGTCCAAGCTCCAGGTGGGTGCGTCCATCGTCCATCCTATGTACCAGATGCAGCAGCCTTTGCTTGAGCTGCTCCACATGACATGGGAGGAGGTTACCAGTTGTGCAACCTCCATTCATGGCCCTCTTGAGGGACATTTTCCACCAGGTTTTATCAGTGGTAACAGGTAGGTTTTCCGTGGGCAGGGTGCCAATCCTTTTACAGCCAGAGAACCATATCTGACTCCAGAAAAATTCTCAGGAGCCCAGTTCTGGTGGTGGGTAGCACCCAAAGCCATCACTGATGGATGAAATGGAGCAGCCTACTGTAGCTTAAAGTTCTTCCTGCCAAGAATGAACCCTTAGGGGAGGCATTCCAACATTTCAGAATGGGAGAAAACTGCATAAAACTGGGAAAAGCACACGTGAACAGTGGTTAGCAGTGGTGCCAGGAAAGGGAGTATGGCCATACGAGATACCAGAGACAAGGCCAGGTTTGGCCTGCAGGTCTAAGGTTCAACAGCTATTCTTTGTGGTTAGGATGAGACTGGGAGACAGAGTTCCCCATATCCTATATTCTCCATGCATGCCTAATTTTGATAAGCAGGACCTCTTCCAGCCTGTTGGCTGAATTCCATTTTAGAGAACTTCTTGAAGTCTGCATCCCAGTGGTGACTGGGATGGGAAAAGGGAGGGAAAAGGAGGAAGGGAAAAGGAGGAAGGGCCAAAGTCCAAAAAGGAAGGGCACAAACACTGGCATCCCATGTCGCAAAGCTGCCAGTGAGTGAGAATTAGGTGAAGCATTTCAGTATTGGGTGAGAGGAACAGCACCGTCAGCACTCAGGAATTCCAAAGGAACCGTGTTCGTGCAAAAGGTGGTGAGGCAATCTGGGAAAGCTTGGAGAGCCAGACTGGAGACTCAGATGAATCGGGTTTGGCCCAAGTTTCAACATCCTGGCTCTGTGCAAAGAGCTCTCCATGCAAATATGTTCTTCAACTCAGCCTGTGTAGCTCAGGAAGGCACAGAACCCCACGACTCCACCAGACATTGAAACAATGTCCACAAAGGTCTTTTTCTGGCCCATCATTCCATCTTCCTAAAGGGTTCAGCCAATGAGGAACAACTCAGCCAGCTTCTCTGTTGGGACACCTTGGATCCTGGGTGGTAGACCTGCTGTGCAGCCACGCGATGTTTAGCCGGTGATGAGTGACCTCAGTTTCTTTGGGGCCGTCAGTCATTCTTCAGATGGTCATGAAGGGAAAGGAAGTCTACTTGAACTGTGCAGTCCATAGAGTGTGAGCCTAAACATTTTTACTCACCAGCAAGCATAGTAAATATCCTAAATGTACAGGATGTTCCAGCTCCATTACAATACTCTGCACAGTTACCTGAGAGTAAGTCCCACTGATCACAGTAAGGCTTGCTTCTGAGTAAACACGGATAAGTGTGAGTGCATAAATATCTTAATTTCTTTTAAACATGTCTTTTTTCTATAGTGTTGCTTTTTTGCAATGAAATACTGTGTCAATAGCTACCTTTCTTTCTAAATCTGGCTATGAGATCTAACTTTTTTTTCATTCCTCCATGCTCTTCCAGTAAACCTCAGATATGGCCAGAAAACAGTTCTGGAATAGTTTTCTGGGACAGATTTTATTTCAAGCACATACTAGTCATTATGCCTACTAGAGAATGAAGCCAACTTTAAGCAGTAATTGCCCTATACTTAAGTGATGCCTCATAAACAGTGGGGAGATAAGTGGGGAGAAGGGAAGGGAAGGGAAGGGAAGGGAAGGGAAGGGAAGGGAAGGGAAGGGAAGGGAAGGGAAGGGAAGGGAAGCATCGATATTCATGGGGACATGTTATGCAAGATCTCAAAAAACAAATGCCTCCCCCCAAAAAAATCCTAGGTGATTGTAATTTGAACTACAACTTTTCACCATCCACTTAATCTTCTGAACTTTCTGTGAAAGACCCAGTGATTTGAAGAACTTGGGGTATGTTGCCCTCTGCAAGATGTGTTCCACTTGCAGTAGGTCCACCCTTACAATTTTAGGGTATCTCCACCTCCCCGCACACACACACCCCACAACAGAGGTTCTCCTGATTCTCTGGGACACACTTTCAGGGGGCTGGAGGAGCTGCTGTGGGAAGGAAGGGACAAGGAGCTCGATTAGAAATTGAACCCCTTGTTAGTAAACACGAGGCAGACCTTTGGAAACTGCATTTTTCTGGTCTGGCTGTAACAGTTTTACAAGGGAAAACAGAGTCTGGTTGAACATCTGAAAGCTACTAATCTTGCCAGCTGGTTTCCCCCATCCAGGAATTCTGGAAACAGACAATGTGTTATTGTCCCAGATTCAGCAGTTAAATGCATGAGAGATTGCAGAATGTTTTTTCAGAGGGAATCGTAGGGGCTGTAAGGATGGAAGAGGAAGAAAGCAAGTGAAGAAACACCTTACCAATGCCAGTTCTTTGTCTGATTTGGGAGAACTGTCACCTGGAAACTTAATTATGGGTGATGGTATCAGTTCTTTTCCTGCTGCTTCTTCTGGAAGCCTCACGGATGGTGGTGGAGGAGCTGAAGTTGGGTGAAGAATGGAGAGTTGGATCAGTAGGATTTTGAAAAGGCAACCCACAAAGCTGGAGGAAATGTGTGTCTTCATCCTGCTCAGTTTTCCTAGAATGTCTCCTATGCCTCTTCTTCGTAAGGAGCTTTTGTTTGATTACTGAATTGAGTTGTAAAGTCCCATCCGTTGCTTCTCAGCACATCCTCACTTTTCAGAGGGCTTCTCTTTTCCTTGCTCCAGCAGTTCCTTTGTATGCCTGAAACATCCAGTCTCCAAGCCACTGCAAGAGGAAGTCTGCAAAACCAGTGGAAACATGAAAGGCGGAGCGGGGGGGGGGGGGGGGGGGGAAAGAAAGGGGGGGGAAGGCAGTACCAGATGTGTGTTTTGCTGGAATTTTAAGGTAGTAACAAGCTGATCCCTGTTAAAACACAAGTTCAGACACCGAGCGTACAGATTCGGTCCTTGCACACACACACAGTAACTTTTTCACTCTGCAGCTGGCGCAAACATTCCTCCTTGGATGCATTTCAGATTTAGTCAGACACCTTCTTTATGATATGGATACAGAGAGATTTTAACAACATTTTTTGGACTGGGTAGCAAGTCACCCTGGGCTTGCCCACACTGGTCAAACATTGCGCAAACTTTGGCTTCTGCTCAAATTGGAGTCAACCTACTTTGATAGTGAAGTATATAACCTTTTTTCCCTCCTGGATTGGACCAGGCCACAGAAAAAGGCCACCAGGAGAAAAATCTCAGGATGTCCTTAAATTCTTGAACGCCTCATGATGGAAATGAAGACATGGGAGGGATGGCTCACTTGATCCTTTGCCATGGCCAGTTTTGGGACTTTTTTTAAAGTTTGGGGGAAGGGTCGGTATCTGGCTTTCCAAATGTGGGTTATGAAATCACAGCCACTGATGCTAAAAGTTCTTGGGCAGCATAACCACAGCTGTCCCCATATTTCGGGTGGCCCTTGGACAAGGTCCCCTTAATGACTCCCTCCTTGAGTCTAAATTTTACCACCTTTGTCACTATTTGCAGTTCCTTAGGATCCATTTTTTTCCCAGCACTGCCACCACCTGATTGCTTGCCAGGCAGAGAATGAGAAAGTGGACAGTGGAAAGAAAAGGAGCAAAGATCTGTCCTTTCTATCATGATGCTGATAATGAGAATTATCTTATTTCGATACTGCCCCTCAGCCAAAGCTTACAGCAATCCATGAAAACACACAATAAAAATGCAATGAAAGCATGCTAAAATCTGAAAATAAATACTAAAAAGTGTTAAAAAGCTAAAACAGGCAATAGCACAGAATGACTCTGGAAACACCTGAGATGAGCGACCAAATCAGTCTTTGAAGGCCTTCGAGAAGTGGGCTATCTTAATTTCTGGGAATGGCTGGAGAATAAATAGAAACATAGAAACTGAGCAAGTCAGAAGGGGTCTCCCGGGCCATCTAGTCTGACCTCTGGCTCTAGCTGGCTCTGCTCACAACATGCCCACCAAATAGAGCAACAACAAAAGCCTGGCATTGAATAGATGACACATTCTGAGCCAGGTGAGCCGCAGTGGAGAACTTATTCCATGGATAGGGGGGCCACTGCAGAGAAAGCCCTGTACCTTGTTGCCACTTTTTATCACCACTGTTGGCTGGGCCAAAGCAAGAGGGTCACTATGGACAAGAGACGGCCCTTTGCAGTGCCTCCACACTGGGGTCTGGGCCCTTGGCAGGCCTGCCATGTTGAGCTTTGATTTGTCCCTCTAAACAGTCGTGTGAATTCCAGCAGGAGAAATGTACAAAACCCCCTTAAGCAGACAGTCCTGGTGACGGCATTTAAGAAAACTGCTTGAACTCTTCTTACTCTGTTAAAAGGAAGCAAGGTCTTTCCTAAAGGAAAACAAAATATATCTAACATGTAAACACAGCTCACGCTTCTTTTCACCTCTTATCTACTTCTTGTCTTTCTCTTTGGCCAGCTCAAACTGTTGCTGTTGGATAGCTCAGTATACCAACATCCATAAACTCTGGTTTGGAACTGTTAACTTTTGCAAGAAGGGAAAAAATTAGGAGTTAAGCAAAGATCTGTGGGTTACCCCCCCTTTTCTGCCTGCCCATTACCATTCTGCCATTTGGGTTTGCAAAGTCAAGAATCACACTGGCACGCCAATCTGTTTGGTAAGCTTATCAGTGAGTTACCCTGAGAATTTCTGGCAAACCAACTATGCTGATTTATCTTCCAGATCAGGACTGATGTGTTAGGATTAGAAATAGCTACAAAGAATCATGGTCCTTATGTAACTGTGCTTTTCTGCTCAAAAAATGTATGGAATATCCGAATTCCAGTGGGCATAAGCATCCAAGCAAGACTCCACAGATAAACAAGGCATTCTACAACTAACTTTTTGTTTCCCATAATCACAGTGGAGTGATTTTGCCTTCCTACTAAATTAGATTCTGTATGATGTACAATACCATACAAATGTTAAAAGCAGACTTAACTAATTTTGCATTTTCAACGGAGCTCAAACGCAGCCGCCTTTTACTATTCACACTCCTCTGAATGTTCCAACAGTATCCTCTTATCAAATTAAAATGTGAACTGAATTAACTTCTTCCTAGCTTAGAAAGCAGTGACATTCAGATCTTGAGCACCCCCGCCCCTCCCCTGTCCTTTTTTTACCTGTGCACTTCCAAAAATCTGCCCTGGCGTGGAGTTCCTGGGTTGTCCTATTTCCAAAGAACTGTTCCATGCATGTAGACTTGTGCCAGGGCCAGCTTCTCTGAGTCCTCATTGCAGGTCTGCCTTCATTCACAAGAGACATGCTTTCTCTTAACAATGGGAAAAGGGATGCCCAGGAAGACAGAGTCTTAGATATGCCCGGCTTCTCTCCGACTGCCTCCCTCCATGTGCCAGTGAGCCATCTCCCTATCTCCCTTGTCATTTCAGCATGAAGACATGAAGAGGGCTTTAATTAATGGCTTTGAAGTTCTGCTCTTTTATAATTCATGGCAGGGCTTTAATTAAAATCAAATGGAGAGTGCTTGAAATGGCAAAGGATTTTAAGAGGGCTCTGTTTGAGATGAGGAAACCAATTCCCTCTGACCAGTGGCTTTCAAGCAGCATGTAAATGGCCTTCATTAGAGATGAGGAGGAGGAGGAGGGTTTCATAGAGCAGCCAGGTCCCTGTTGTCTTGGTCTCGGTAGGTACAGAAATGGCCAAGGCACCCTTATCCTCCCCATCTTGTCTTTCAAGAGCACCATCAGCATAGGAAGGATGTAGTCAAGGAGTGATTGGCTCCCCTTTGCAATACTGGAGGGTGGAGTCTGAGGAATGCTGCAGACCTCAAAAGAGTGTTCAATATTGTGCAACATTTTAATTATTTCCAATCAAGATTCTGCCCTAATGTGGTTACTTGTGACCTTGAGACATTAGACAAAACTTCCAGAGAAAGAGGGGGTACCATTTGCTTTGTTTTTGTTAAAAACAGAATCCCTGATCCTGAAACAATATTAAACAGCAAGTCTTGTAATCTGGGAGAGAAAGACGCAGCAGTGAATGGAAACAAGGAGCTGCCTCCTGCTGTGTATATAAAGACCAGCACCGCATGCGTATGGAATGGACAGATGGTTTGTGGGTGTTTTGGAGAGAGTTATTGTGACAGCGATCCAAAATTCCAGGGGAAACATGGAAGGTTTCTTCCAGGAGTCACCTGGCAAGATTCACAAGATTATGGCAAAGTCGTATGATTTCTTTAATCAAGCTGCAGGCTAAATGCTTCTGCTGAAGGATATTTCTGTGCTAGTCCCAACTTAGCCCTGAGATTGAGATACTCACTGACTCTCAACCTAACCTACCTCAGAAGGAGTTTGTGATGATTCATGGACAGGAAGGCAGTCAAGTGAACTGCTTTGGGTTCCTTGCAGTAAGCAGAAAGTTAAGTAAAAGTATATCACCTTCACTTTCACCTCCACCTCCACCATCACCGCCATTTCTACACCTCTCCTAGCAAAAGCTTTCTGGGTGGTTTGCAACAATCATCACAGAATCATACATTCAGGTCACCCATCCAGATTCTAACCAGGCCCGACATTGCTTAGCTTCCAAATTTTGGCAGGATCAGGTTATATGTAAGTTATTGATTGATGAAGAATAATAATGAATAATAATAAAATTATTGAGTGACCAAATAAACAAATAATATAGGCAGATGCAGAGAGAGAGAGAGAGAGAGAGAGAGAGAGAGAGAGAGAGAGAGGTTTTCATTTCATTTCTTATATTTCATTGCTGTCTGATCAGTAAAAATCTCTGAGCAGTTTACAAAGATTAAACATTTAACATACATTACAAAGTCATTTACATACAAACAGTGCAGTGTGCAAATCCTGCTCCCATTCTCAGAATGCCACAATCAGATGTATAAAGAAGTAGGAATACAGAGAGATGCAAATATGTAGGTGGACACAGATTGAGGGATTTGGGGTGGGGGGGAAAGAGAGAGAGGTAGGGAGGGAGGGAAGGAGGGAGGGGTCTGAGACAACATTCTTCTTGATCCCTACTAAGCATAAAGCCTATCTTTGGATTCACTGGCCCCGCACAAGCAAGTGCTGGCGCACGGCCTTATGGAAACTTGACGGCTTTCCGAGATTGGTTGTTGTGAGCTTTCACAAATGAGTCCCAGAGATGTGGCAGGTCTTCAGATGGGACATCCAGCTCTGCAGGAAATATTTCCGGAGCAGAAGAGAATGGCCCCACCCATCTCTATTTTCAAGATCATGTATACTATTAGCAAGCACGGTTTTTCAACTGCCAAACCAGCACCATCCTCAGCAAGATTGAGTGGGGTGGTGGGGAGAGAGAAAACTATTAGAAGGCTTGGGGGAATCCAGAAGTCAAAAACCTATTGGAGGAGGGGAGTAGGGAATCTCTGTGTGGAAAATTGAACTTAAACAGTCCAACGAAGATTGGGCATACTTAGTGAGTCTGTATGTCTATGTGCATGTGAGCTGGGAAGAATAAAAAGCTAGGGCTGTGAGGACGGAAAATGTAATGCGGCATCCTTGGAGAGAGCATGGCTGCTTGGTCGGAAGCATGAAGTGCTTCTGTCCACAATATACGTGCTGCAGTTCCTAAGTATTTTGCGGAATTTCCAGCTTTTACAGACATCGCGTGATGCCTGTGCGTTCTCCGCTACCCTCACATTATCTTCCTGTTCCAGAGTCATTCAACGGAGCTTGCACTTTCCTGAGCGTACATGTAAGCAGAGCTGGTTGAATGCAGAATGCA